TCTATTGTTAGTTTCCTGAGGAACCTCCACACTGTTTTCCAGAGGGGCTGTACCAAGAAAACAGAGATTTTAAAAACATTGTGTGCCTTTCAGAAAGCAAAAGTTAAACCTTAAGTATCTAGTACAGTATACATACAGGTACATAGATCAACTATATATAGTGATTATCATCATCTATTTAGTGTTTATAATTCACAAATTCCAGGAGGAATTTTTATGTATGTATGTATGTATGTATGCATTCATTCATTCATTCATTCATTCATTCCATATTAGACCATACTAGTAGAGAAAGAATGACATACAGCTGGATTCTGGTGAGATTTGGGGCTCCAGACTCAAGTGGTCATGAAAGTTAGATGGTTTCAAGGAGATTTTGAAAAAAAGTAGACTGAAAATCACAATACCTGTTCAAGGATTTAGTTGTATGGCTTTGAGCAAATGTCTTTAATATTTTTTTGGTTTCAATTTCCATAGTTCTTGAAATGAGATTGGACTAGAGAATCATAAGGTCCCTTTTACCTATAAAATCACTGTAAAAAATGAGGCAAAAATTATCCACAATCTTTTTTATGCCAGGAGTATTTCAGACTTCTAAGTATGGAATGCTAATAGAAATGGTGATGTTCAAAAATTAGTCCTGAGATAGAATTTATTTTTTTAATTTTTATAGTTTATTTTTGAGACAGAGCATGAGCAGGGGAGGGGAAGAGAGAGAGAGAGGGAGACACAGAATCTGAAACAGGCTCCAGGCTCTGAGTGGCCAGCACAGAACCCGATGAGGGGCTCAAACCCACAAACCGCAAGATCATGACCTGAGCCGAAGTCAGACGCTTAACCGACTGAGCAACCCAGATGCCCTGAGATAGATTTTTTAATAGAGAGAAGAGTAATATAAGAATTTCTGAATCTTAGGTGACAAATAATGACCTTTCTATAAATTTCTCTAGAGTTGACAGGGCCATCCCATTGAGAGGGAAATGGCCTGTCCACTTCATCTAAAGTTCTAAATACCTTGAGCATAAACTTCACAGTTGACTAACTGAAAGATGTCCAGTCAAAATGCTAGAACACAATATTAAATAGAACCTCAAATCATGGAGAGACCAAAGAACTTTTAGTCAAATCTTCACATTTTATAACTGGGAAACAAAGTTGACACAGAAAAACAGTAGCAGAACCTGAACCTAGGTCTCCTGATGCCCGGTCTGCCTCTTTTCATGGTCCTTTGCGGCCTCTATGGACAGTCCTGGCTTCAAGGACAGATGAATTTGTGGTAAATTTGTGGTAAATCTCTGGGGCAGCTGAGACCACTTGTTTGATCAGAACCTCAGGTTTGAAGAACTGGTCACCAGCTGGACAGGAGCTGGGTCCCCCTGAGCTGTCCTAACATGATGCCACTCACCACCAAGAATGACCGTGTGAATATATCTGGAAATGAACTACAGCCCTAATGTAATCTGGGGTAGAATATAATGGCTAAAACAACTTTAACAAGATCTTAGGAAGTGATAATCTAACTGCATTCTGCTTGGTAACATCACATCCGGAGTTCATCTGTTCGTTGCTGGATTTAAGTTTTAAGACATTGACAAACTGGAGGACATCAAGAGAAGGCAAACAGGATGCCAAGGGCTCTCTAAATGTTGTAAGTCACAGTTTATACAATGCCCTCCAGATTTCAAAGTGCTTTGCCTACACTTATCCCTCCCACAAAGTGGTAAAGTAGGCTGGTAGGATAAATTATCCCTGCAATGGTGACAGAGTTAAATATTTCACCCTATCTCCTATCCTAAATATTAAAAAATATGTATCTGTGGCTTCTCCACAGCACAAGTAGTGTGCAGATATTTGCTAAACAAGTGAATTTTGCTTCAGAAGTTAATGAAAGGAATAAAGAATAAAAAATCCAGGGAGGCTAATGCTAGGAGCTTAGAAGTGTGTAATAAAGCTATAAACTGTTGCATGAACTTACTGACACCAAGAGAAAATCAAGTGAAGCGGAGATGACCGTTTGTCAGGGATTTAGTTAAGTCCAACAATTGTTATTAATTGCCTACTATATGACAGGCAGCAAGCACCATAAGGGGTGTCAAAAATGAATAAATCCTGGGGCGCCTGGGTGGCTTAGTCGGTTGGGCGTCCGACTTTCGTTTAGGTCATGATCTCGCAGTTCGTGGGTTCGAGCCCCGCGTCGGGCTCTGTGCTGCCAGCTCAGAGCCTGGAGCCTGTTTCGGTCTGTGACTCCCTCTCTCTCTGACCTTCCCCTGCTCATGCTGTCTCTCTCTCTACTAGAAATAAATAAAACATTAAAAAAAATGAATAAATCCTGGTCCCTGCCCTTGAGAAGCATACAGGGTAGGAGAGGTTGATATGTAAACTGATACATGCATCATTGGAGGCATATACAAGGTACAGTCATAGTACCATGGGTTTGAAGAACGAGGAAGAATTTGTCAGGAGGAGCCTGGACAAAATGGTGGTGATGCACTTGGGATCTTACCAGTAGCAGGTATCACTGTAGAACAGTTTCCTTCTTTGGGTATAAGAAGGACTTTTAAAGTTCTTTCAAAAACTCAACTTAAAGCCTTACAGAAGTCCTTAACATATTACCATCTCTGACAATAATTCTCAGGGAGGTCCTACTCAGACCAACTGCTTTATTTTTTATTTATTTATTTTTACAAATAGTTTATTGTCAAATTAGTTTCCACATAACACCCAGTGCTCATCCCCACAAGTGCCCTCCTCCATGCCCATCCCCCCCTCCCCCCCACATCCATCAGTCCTCAGTTTTTGTCAGCATTCAAGAGTCTCTCATGGTTTGCCTCTCTCCCTTTCCCCCACCATTTCCCCCCTTCTTCTCCCGGTTGCAGACCAACTGCTTTAAATAAAAGAGTGTCAAGTTCTCTAGAAGTCGTGTGCTAAAACATCACAATAGGAGGCAAATACAAGCAATTCTGAGCAGAAGGCAAACGACAGTTAACAGATCTGAAAAATGATTAAGCGAGTGTTAGCTCACAAAATCCAGCTTTATCTGGTGGAATGCTTAAATTCTAGATTCCTAAACAGAAGTTTTGAGAAGGGGCTTCTTACCCTAATAATGGAAAGTTAAGCCAATTCTATCATCTTTGTTCCCTTCCCATTTTTTCTTCCAGCATTTACAACTTCTGTTGCTTTGCTTTGCCCAGCTGTAATGTAAGCTCCTTGAGGGCAGAGAACATGTCTTATTTATTGTATTCTCAGAGACCAGAATAGTTGCTGGCAAATATTAGAGCTTTCATTTCATTTATTCATTTAATGAAGGAATCCTTAGCTAAAGAGATCACCCCACGATGGGAGCAGTAAATATTTGTAAGTTGTGATTTGGCCCCATGCCCTTTCTCTCTAACTATGCTTTGCAATTCTGCCCTCCTCTCCATGTGGCTGAAGCAGGCTTTTATGACTTTTAAGGCACTTGACATAAATGCCACCATTAGTGAAAAGAAAAGATTTTTGCAAGGCTTACTAAACTCTAAGAGCAGCAGGAATAAAGGAAGAAATGTGTTCAAAGTACTTCTTTGGCTTCTTTAGCCCTTAGTATCTCTACACTTGGTCAGACAGAATCATATTCCTCTTCAGTGGTATTCACAAATACTATAGCTATGTTGATGTTTGCACATTACCTTCACAGATCCAAGACAGGACAGAACAGTGACAAAATGCTGGAGGATGGTTCTTTCCCATTCTACATGGAGTTCACCCTCTCAGAAGCTGGGAGAAACTCCACTAATCAGCTTTTCATATTCTAGGACATCTGAAAAGGCTTTGTGGGGGGTGCTGGGATTTGGGGCCAGACTGACCCTTCTGAGACTATGAAGAGGCACTTATCCTGACTTCTTGTGTGAAGATCTAAAGAGGACTACTGAGAACAGGCATGCCTTTTCTTTTTATCCCACTCTCCATTATCAGTACTGTTACTGAGATGAGACTTAGAACTTGACCAAGAATTTTGTTTTTCACTTGAGATCTTGCTTAGTGGACTCAAATTGATCAAACTGGAACACTGAGGAGTCATCTTTGATTTCTCTTTCATTCTCTATTAAATCACCAAACCTATTGAAAAAATTTCAATTTCTCTCTCCTTTTTCACCTTTATTGCCACTTTTACTTTTGCTTGTCAGTTTGTCTGAACTATTGATAGGTGATAGGACAACCCTCAAATGTGCTGCTTACATGGATGGAGGTGATAGTGAACAGTTAAAAGCTGCTAGTATAGAGAAGCAGAAACTAACTTAGTTCATATTATTTATAAACTAGAGAATGTTCTCAGCTAACAGGCTGATAAAGAGTTATTAGTCCAGAAACGCAGAATTACAACCAGTGCAAGATTTAAAAACTCCTTTATGTTCAAATATAAGGACAAAAAAACAAATAAACATTTCTCATTTACTTAAAAACGCAAATTTCCCAAGCTATGACTTATCTGTTAGCATTTCTTTATCAGTCTGACTTAATTTTTAAAAGGTCTTAAACACCCATTCAGGATAAAACAAATAAAAGTGCCAAAGCTTTAAGAAACCATATGCTAACTTAGGATGTTGTCTACATTTTCTTGGACCAATCAATGTTTTTTAAGAGGTGGAGATACTGGCATTTCTCTCTTAAAAGAAATGTTTATACACAACACTAGCCTGTTGCACAGAGCATCCCTCCCCCCCTCCAACACACACACACACACACACAAAAACCCACAATGCCATTAAAAACAAACAGGAATCCTGAAGGGAAAAGAAAGCCTCATTTGAATACAATAAATTGTACCCAGAGACTCCCTTCCCATTATCCTTTAGGACAAGCAGAGAAACCTGACCTGTACCCTTAGCCCAGATGGGTAAGAAAAGACCTCTAAGTAAGTAGTAAAATATTACTTATGATACTCCCAGTTGTCTACAATTTTCTTCTCTTAACAAATATCAATTTCTTAAGATGAATTGTTTGTACAAGCTCCAGACTGTCAATATATTCCAAAGTAAATTTATTATTCATACAATTAATTATAATACATAATTAATATAAATCATTTCTCTAAAGAAATTTAAAATATACATTCAAGGTAGCCAAGTTCTATTCTTAAACAGAGGTACTCAATCCCTTTTCTTCTGAGTTCATTTCTCCAGAAGTCCAGTCCTTAAGGACTTCTGGAGTCTAGCGATATTGGCATCCAGTGCTGCAAGGCCATTTCGGAAGTCCTGCTCATCTCGAGAAGTGAACGTTGAAAGAGAGGAGATGCTCCAGTCAGACGTCAAGTCAGAATTTAAAAAGCTACCATCACAAACAGCACTGCCTTTCACTTGAATGCCGCCGCTCTGACAAGCAGAGGGGCCGGGACACGCCGCCAGCTCTGGTGGCTCCTCGGGGGTGGCAGGGATCTTACAGATGGCTTCCTTGATTTTCTTGAGGAGCTGCTTGTCTTCCATGTCAGCTCTTCTAGAAAGTTTCTCAGGTGTCTCTTCTGCTTCCTTTTTGGAAGAGAAACAAACTCTGGGTGCACACGATTTATTGTCTTTTTCAGAGACAAGTCCACTGTTGCTGACCAGCTGTGGTGAAGCCACAGTGATCTGTGGCTGTGGGGATAATCTCTTAGATAATGGCGATTTCTTTTTAGAAGTGCTTCTAGCAAATGGAATGTAAATTGTATTATCCAAATTACACTCATCGTCTATTAAAGTTGTAACTTCGCTCTCCTCATCAGAATCCTGTTTTGAAAGGGTAGGAATGATCCCAGGGGCTGACACTTCCTCCTTGTTCCTTGTGTTACCATGCTGAGGGCTTTTGGAGGGCAAATCATTTTCATAAGGTCTACCTGGCTCTATGTTCTCCTCATTGTTAACTGTAGAAAGTGGCTCTGAATGTGTAAAAGCGTGGTCTGTTTCTAACTTTTTTAGGTAGCTCATTATGGAAGTGTGAGCTGGGATTGGGTCACACTTGGGTTGTTTTTCATAAATGTTCAAAAGTGATTTGGTAAGATTATTTCCAGACTTGCAGCGGGCACTGTCCATACTAAGATCTGAGAGAAGCTTTGCCATACTGCTCTGTAAAGTTCTGTTAAGAAGAAGTTAGTACACTAATTATTCTTTTTACGTGTTTATTTCATTTATTTATTTATACAGCCTTTTTCAAAGAAAGGATCTGAGGCAAGCACCTGATTCGTAACATTGAAAAAAAACAACTAAAAGCAAAAATCACAGAACGCACTCTGGAATAAGTAAATTACAATAACAAATTAATCAAAGATCTTACTCTGTATCAAACCTAATATTATGATATTTAGAAACAGAGGCTCAGCATTCTTTTCTCTTAGGGTATAAGATGCTTTACTGTAGAGCAACATTGCAAAATGGTACAAATTCTGTTAGTAATTAAGTTATTTCTCACCATTCAAAATATATATGCAAAGGACACTGAACAATACTGGGAAAAAAGGATAGCCAGAGATAAATATCTGGTATAATTAGATATGACGAACAGTTAGGTACCAGGAGAAGTGTGATATATGAAAAACCATTCAGGATCTGAAGTTAGACAGAAATGCAATCAAATACTATCAGTAGCTATGATCTTAGGCAAGTCACTCAACCTTTCTGAATCTCAAATTCCTCAATTACAAAATGAAGATATCTACTTCAGAATTACAATGAACATTAAGTAAGATAAAATAATCAAATATGAGGGTAAGGTGTTTATTACTACTAGAACAGCTTTATGGGTGTTCATTTGATGGCAGCTTTTATTAGTAGTCCTATTAAAGCCATTTTCTACCAAGCTTTTGGACTTTTTGAATTGAATCATATATATGTTCTTACATATCAATAAGAAAAGAAATACATCAATTTTTAAAAAGATACAAAAGACATCACAGGAAATTTTAAAAGATTAAAACTAGCCAGTAAGCATATTTTAAAAGTTCAACTTTTAACTAGAGAAATTCAAAATTTTAAAATGTGATTTTTTTGGGGGCCTATCAAATTAACATGGTAAAATAAGAATGGTACCCACTGTCAGAGGTTCTTGCAGACACAGGTACTACGAGTGAGAGTGTACACTGGAGTAACCCTTCCTGAGAGCAAACTGGTAATACATCAGATGACTTAAATATCTGTATATCCCACATTTCTGGACCCACTAGTTTGCACTTCTAGGAATTCATCCTACATATATATGCCAAGAGGCTGTACCCAAGATACACTTACAAAAATATAATCTAGAATAGAAAATAGATGGATTTAGTATCTTTATCTTCAAATAGAGTAGAATGATTTAGGTAAATTATGCTCTAATTGCACCATAGTTATAGTTGTGCTGTAAGGAATATTTGTTGATGTCCATTACTTAAGGTTAAATTTAAAAGAGCAGTCCATAAATAACATGGAAATAATACTATTTTTTGTAAAAACAGTCACCCATAACAAATAAAATACTAAAAGGAAATCTATACTAAACAGCAGTGATTATATCTCTGGATTTGGAAAAAGTGGGTTTTTTCCTACAAAAGAAACAACAAATTTTTTTCTAACCTGGCTTACTTATTACACTGTCATCTTACACATATTTTGAGTTGACTGCTCTTCAAATGGGAATGGTTCTTACCACTTTTCCTCAGACCTTTTTCAAGAAGCCAACAAGCTATTATTAAAAGAAAAAATATGTTGTATGAAGATATCTTTAAAAAAATTCTGAAAGGAAGAATGATCCACTAATTAATTTGATCAGACTACATACTGGAACTTTCATTTTTATTTGTTTTTAGAAAAGGAGTACTTAATTTGAGCTTTCTTTCCAGACTTAATAAAAATGTCATCTTCACTGTGAACAAAATCAATGATGAAGAAAGGGAGAAAGAAATAATGACATTAATAAGAGTTTAATCTCTGGAAATTAATAGCAACCATTAAGCTTCTGATTTATAAACGAAATGTGACTCACCATTACCTCCAAAACTAAAAGAAAAATCTCTGTAACTAAAGAAATGACAGTATGTCAAAATTTTAAAGAAAGCAATACGAACACCTGAATAGCTACAAAGTAGATATATTTCTGTTTCTATTCTATGGAATATACTATTAAAGTACATTGATTTTTGATGTTTAGAAAACGGACACATTTTTATAATAAGAAATTCAAGGTTCTCAGCTACTTATAAAAATACACTAATTTTGGGGCACCTGGGTGGCTCAGTCGGTTAAGCGTCCAGCTCGGCTCAGGTCATGATCTCAAGGTTTGTGGGTTCGAGCCCCTCATCAGGCTCTGTGCTGACAGCTAGCTCAAAGCCTGGGGCCTGTCTTCAGATTCTGTGTCTCCCTCTCTCTCTGACCCTTCCCTGCTCATGCTGTCTCTCTCAAAAATAAATAAAACATTCAAAAAATAAATTAATTAAAATACACTAATTTAAATAACTATCAGTCCTTGTAACAGTGCTCTTAGAAGCTATGAGAATACTACTTGTTTACTGAAAACATATTAATTTCCTCACATTTTAATGGTCTTATAGCATGTGCTATAGCAAAATTTTGAAAGTGGTAAGAATATATTTCAAAATTATTCAAGGTTGGAGAAGAGAGAGAGACATGGTTTAGGGTATTTGTTAAAAACTCATATGTGTACTTTCTAGTACCACTATCCTTCCCTAACAGTCTGAAAAAGGCATTTAGAAATTTTTTTGAAATCTTTATAAAAGACTATTTAAAACACATACAAAAAATATGCATCTTTCTTACTGCGATGTATGACTACAGGGAAGATGGACAGAATAGTTGAAAGTGAAGATTGAGCTCTACTGTTAGATGGTGCCGCTTTACCCTCTGGCAAAAGTAAAATTAAAGTCGTCACAGTAGCCCAGCTATAGTATTTGTTCCTAATTAACTGAATTGCACAGGGTATCACCAAACATAGTATAAATCACCAACGTGGATGAATTTTTATACAATTAAGCTCAACTATCAACTTTTTGTTTTTGTTTTGACAATACAAAAATTATCATCCATGGGTATACTTGGCATTTTGAAGCTCTTACTGAATGTAGGGGTAGAAACTCTGTGAGACACTGTGCTAATTTAAGCTTGCTCACCACATTTCTTTCTTTCTTTTTCTTGAGAGAGAAGGCATGAACAGGGAGGAGGCAGAGAGAGAAGGAGACACAGAATCTGAAGCAGGCTACAGGCTCTGAGCTGTCAGCACAGAGCCTGATGCGGGGCTTGAACTCACAAACTAAGAGGTCATGACCTGAGTCGAAGTCATATGCTTACCCAACTGAGCCACCCAGGTGCCCCTCACTTACCATGTTTCTATAATCATTTAAAAAGACCTGTTAATCTAACAGTTGAGCTAGTAGTCAAGACACAGGATTTATGCCCAGTATAAGAAGAAAACATCCTTGACAACAATGGAAAAAACTGACAGGAAATATCTTGGAGTCTTAAGAGAGTAAAACATTTACACCTAGTATTTCAGACACAGTCTTCGAAAAGCAGATAATATAAAAGAAGTAATAACCTTTTTCATATCCTATGCTTCTACGTTAGGGTTGGTGTTAAAAGGCTCTACTTGCAAACAAACCCTTTTTCATTCCTAATGAAAAAGCAGACTGTGTTATTTTGAAAGAATGAGCGGGTACAAAGTTAGAAGAATCTCTCAAAAACACATCCTCTTTTCTCAGAGAGAAGCTGTCCTTTCCAAAAGATAAAGCAAGGCTGAAGAGGGAATCTAAAATCTTGGTTCAGGTCCTAGCGTGGGCCCCAACTAGCTGTGAAAGGCAGGCAAGTCCTTTCATTTCTTTGGGCTTCCATTTATGCTAATTTCTCTAATAATTAAACTATTACTTACTCTGAAAATTGTCCTTACATTTTTGTTATCAATCTTCTCCACAAATGCACCACTATGTTACATGGTATTCAGTCAAGTTGATTCTTAAAAAAGGATGTATCTACCTATATACATCATCAAAGCACTAGAATTAAGCTTTTAGTTTGATGACATGGATATTTAGCAACTAAAATGATTACATATATTTGTATTTCACACATGTATATTCGGAATATACAATAAATGTTTGATGAATAAATGAATAATCAAATGAATCCATCCATTCATCCCTACATTTTTCAGGTAAAACAAAACAAAACAAAAAAATCTGCTAAGGTTCACTTAGACTAAATTAGGCAGTTAACCAGGAATTGTTGTTACCAGGAATAAACTATTTTAGCTAAGGACATACCATGTGTAAGAGAGAAACCCTGGCTAGGGATTAAGAGATATGAGTTCTAGTCCCAGCTTATTAACTTCCTATTAATATTTAACTTGTATGTTCTCAGTTTCCCCATCTGTGAAAATGAGTTTATTAAAATCTTTCCATCATAAACGAGGACAAACAAAACAGACATGAGAGAAGACTTTGGGGGGAAAAAAATCAAAGTACATTATAAATAAAAAATAAAACCAGCTTCTGATTTCATGCTCATAAAGGAGCTAGGTTTAGTAGTATGAAGAAAAGCATTGTGAGAAGAAAAGCATATTCTCAGGCAACTAGATCCTCCACTGCATTTCCTGCTAGAGGCTGAGCACCATGCCCCTTAAATGAGGAGATGCTCCCAGGGACACCCAAGCAACTGGTCATGGAACCTGACCATGCTGAGTTGCTATCCTATTTTTCTTTTCCAAATGGACTATTTGCCACAGGTACATTTTAAAAAACGTTTATTGAGGGGCCTTTGGGTTGTTCTGTCGGTTAAGCATCAGACTCTTGGGTTTCAGCTCAGGTCATGATCTCACAGTTGGTGAGTTCGAGTCCGAGTCAAGCTCTGTGCTGAGAGCACAGAGCCTGCTTGGGATTTCTCTCTCTTTCTCTCTCTGTCTCTCCCTAGCTTGATCACACTCTCTCAAAAAAATAAATAAATAAAATAAAATAAAATAAAATAAACATCACAAAAATTAAAAATAAATTTTACTGTTACATAATTTACTATAAAATTTACCCCTTGAAAGTGTACCACTGAGTTTTTAGTATATTCATACAGTTATATAATCATTACCTCTATCCAATTTCAGAACATTTTCATTACCTTAAAAAGAAACTTCCCCTTTTCTCTCAGCCCTTGGCAACCACTAATCTATGTTTTGTTTCCAGGGGTTTGCCTATTTTGAACATTTCATATTAAGTGGAATCATACAATGTTTGGTCTTTTGTGACCGGCTTCTTTTACCATAAATATTTGATAATAACAGAGTTTTCATCCCAAAATTACTCTTCAAAAAAGAGGAGATGCTTTCTTTGGAGACTTTATGAAGGCTTTCATAAGAAGGGACATCCTCTCACTTTTACTTTGAATAAGAGTATTAAAAGCCAGGGGCGCCTGGGTGGCTTAGTCGGTTAAGGGTCCGACTTTCGCTTAGGTCATGATCTCGCGGTTCGTGGGTTCGGGCCCCGCGTCGGGCTCTGTGCTGACTGCTAGCTCAGAGCCTGGAGCCTGTTTCAGTCTGTGACTCCCTCTCTCTCTGACCCTCCCCTGCTCACGCTGTCTCTCTCTCTCTCTCCTAGAAATAAATAAAAAACATTCAAAAAAAATTAAAAAAAAAAAGTGATAAAAGCCAACATTTTAGAAACTCTGACTAGAGCCTAATTAATTATAATACTACATGGATACACAAGTGTCTTTTGCTTTTCCCCATTGTTCGGTAAAAGTTTGAGTGCAATATGAATGTGGAAAAAAAGCAGTATTTCTATGTTAATACAGCTTATACAGAATCATTTCAAATGTTTATAAAATTAAATAGATTAAGTATTATATATATATTATTATCTCATCTATTTTCTTAAAAGTTTGTCATTCAAAATGGATCTTCTCATTTGTAATATGAAGATTATTTTATATTAAAAATTATTTTATATTTGAACTATAAACTTCCAGTATCATTCAAATGTATGGTTAGATCTAATGATATTCAGGCCCTAAATAATGGACTTCTCCTCTAGGATTTAAGTAAGCAGTTGTAAATCCAATTCTTAACAAAAGTCTCAAGAGAAGACTGTACTTTTAAAGTATGTATCATGTAAAAATAATTGAGTGCAGTGATTTTATTTATTTGAGAAAAGACATGTCAGGGAACAAAGGGCTCTTAGGGGTTGCTGCCAACTCCCTCACTTTACTGATGAAATAACTGAGGCTCAAAGAGGCTCGATGACTTTCCCAAGATCATCTGGCATGAGGGCTTCCTGTGCTCAGTGCTTCATATGAATTATTTCTTAGTGTTCCCATCAACCCTAGTCATGCTCCACTTTCAGCTGAGGTTTAGAGAGGTTAAATAACTTGGTTAAAGCCACACAGCTAGCACAGGGAAGAGCTGGGATTCCATTCAGGTCTCTCTGGCTTCAGAGCCAGAGGGCTCTTAACAATTTGCTAAGTGAGTCTTTAGCTTACGTACATATAATAGGCTGAAGCTCTTTCTTTACAAGAGCCCTTTACCTGGAATCACATGGTTTAAAAAAGCATGGAGTCAGGTTTGGCATTTCTAAACCCAAATGGAGCAGAAGAAAACATTATTAGAAATTAGCAAAAACATTGACAAGAGACAAAGGGGAAGAAAGAGAGCAGATCTAAAATTGTTTTTGAAGTCTATAACTAATCTGACAAGAGGCATATTATTCATATGAAGTCAACATTACCTTGTTAATTCTCTCAGTCGGGTCACCTCAGCGTCACGCTGACGTAATGTTATTCCCAATATTTGATTTTCCTTTTCAGCAGCTTCTAACTTAAACCGGGAGCTTTTCACATTGACTAAGGCTTCCTCCAATTCTGAAACCACAATAAAATTTCAGTTTCCTTTTCCTTTTTAAAAAATGTGACCACAACCACAGATCAAATACATACCAATTTTTATTCTTGTTGTCTCAATGTCAAATTGTTGTTTATTTTCAAGTAAAGTTTGCTCTTTCTCTTTGAATATGCCAGCAAATTTTTTGTTTTCATCTTTCTGATTTTCAATGACTTTTAAAAGTTCTTCATTTTTACTCTGTAGTAATTCCTGGCTCTTCAGTGACTCCTGTAATTGGTTTTGCAGGGACTTGTTCAATGACTGAAGAGAAAACACTGCAAGACAAAACAGATCAAATCACTGTTTCCCTAATTGAAAAAGCACAAACCTGAAAACGATCTGTGTATAAAAAAGAGAAGACCTGGAATGTATTGATTTTGCTAACAATTATATGCTTGAGCAGTTCCATGTAAATATTAAATATATTTTTAAAATTTGATGCAGAGATCATACCTTTCTTCTCCAACTAATATTTTGGGCTTTAAGATTTATTTTTCCTTTATTAATGAAAGAATGATACATGCACAAAGTAAAAAAAATTCAAACACGATAAAATACCAATGATACCGAATGATTCTCAGTGAAGAATCTCCCTCCCCACCCCACCTCCACTCTCTTTCCAAAGGCAACCTACAATTAACTTTGGTATCCTTCTGGAAAAATATTTGTGCATATAAGATATATATTTAAACAAAGATGAATCATACTTTTTACTCCATAAGATTAATATGTAAGTAGCACATAGATCTATCACATTCTTTTTAGTGTCTGTAAAAGTATATGGCACCATTCACTTAACAAATACAGCCTTGAGTGAAGACTTACTATGTGTGAGACATGGTATTAGACACTGCACATAGAGTAGTGAATAACAGAGACATAACTGGTGCTCTCAAAAAGCTAATAACAAACAAGTCATCATACATAGCGATAAATGCTTTCAAGAAAACAATAAGACAAATGGGCAGAGACTAAAAAGAGATAAGCTATTTAGAATGGCAACTACCAATCTCCTCATTTCCCTCTTGGCCCCTCCTCTCCCACATTTCCTCACTCCCATTGTTTATTCATAGTGGAATCAGAGTGACTTTTTCCAAGATTACTCTGGTGAAGATGAACACTTTTATGAAGTGTGTATTCTGTTGGGTACTTGTATTTTTCTTATTGCTTTGTAATAGCTATTTATATATTAAGAAAATTAAGCCTTTGTCATTTTATGTAGTATGAAAAAATTGTCCCCATTTTGTTAATGCGCTGTGAATGTGTTTACAATTTTGCCATGCAGAAAATGACAAAAATTCTGAGGACAAATCTTATCAGTCTTTTTGTTTGTGACATCTGAGCTTTGTCAGGCTTAGGAAAAGATTCCAAGAATAAAAAAAACAAAGAAACAAATGGTTCTAATCTTTTCCTCGTTACTATTATTTTTTTTTCTTTTTCCTATTATTTTAAGCTCTAGGATCTATAACCACAATTTGGCAATATCTGTCAAAATTGCAACTGTATATATCCTTTGACTATTAATTCTACAGCTATTATCTACAAAATGCTCACACATGCACAAAGACATACGTACAAAAATTTGACTGTAGCACTGTTTGCACTGGGAAAATACCTAAATAGCTATCATTAGAGGACTTCAAATACATTATGCTAGAAGCACATAAGCAGAATATTTAAATAATTCTTAAGCAGAAAGAAACATCTATGTATTTTGATACAGAAAAATGCGCACTACAGTTTTTATTGGAAGGGGGAGCTAAGATGGAAGCACAGTAGGAGGATCCTAGGCCTGCCTTATCCCTCGAACATAGCTAAATAACTATCATTCTGAATATACAAGAAATTGACCCGAGGACTGATAGAACAAACTGTACAACTGGAGGGAGAAAAGAGGCCACGTGGAAGAAGGTAGGAGGTGCAGAGACATGGTTTGGGGGAGAAACAGATCACAGGTGCTATGGAGGCAAAGGAGGCTTTACATACAAGGAGAACACTTTCACTAAGCCTTTGGCTGGGAAAACACGAGGGGCTGATTTTCATGAGTTTTTGCAACCAGTGGGGCACAAAGAATGGAGTTTTAGAGGTCTACTGGCTGGGCTGGGAAGAGAGACCTGAGGGGTCTGCCCTACTTCTGGAGAGAAGGCAGGCAAGCAAATGCCAGGGCAGATGGCACAATCTGGGGATCGCCTAACGTGTTGGGAGAGATGGTTCCTACTTCGTGGAGCACATCTGTGAATGGTAATGTTGCCTCTCCGGGGACAAAAGAGCTGGTGGGTGCCCCTTCTCTCCACGCCCCCCTCGGCATAGGTACAGGCACCTGCTGTGGGAGGCTAACCTGGACACTGGCTGGTTAGCCTGCTTTGCTCCAAATCCCATGCCCCTGTGCTCCGGCGCAACTGCCTTCTCAGTCAAACCTGCATCAACTCCAGTGAGGTGAGACTCACCCGAAGACCAGGGCAGCTCCCCCCCCCGCCTTCTCAGCACTCCTTTGAAGTCTGGAATTTTAAAAGTTAGCAGGCTTGGATGGGACAGAACCCAAAGTTCACTGTGCTGCTCCAGATAGGCAAGCAACCTAGAGACAAACAGTGTGAAAACAGCAATCTGAAAAACACCTGAGAGACACTAGGGAAAATTACTCGCTCTTCTGGGAGTGCCTCCCTGAGAGCAGCATGTACCAGTCCCCTTTCCAGGACAAAGGAGCTGGAGCCCATTTCCTTCCTCTACCCGTAGGCATAAACCAACTTAAAAAAAAAAAAAAATCACAGCATCAACACTACCAGCACTGGCTGTTTAACCTGCTTACACCAAGACCCACCCTCCTGTGCTCTGTTCATACTGCTTTTCTCAGGCAAGTTTGTTAAAGGACCAGTGCAACAGGCCCTTCTCCAAGAACACCGGCACAAACCCCTGCACACATCAGGTCTACTAACGACAGAGTTCTGCAAAGCTTCAGTTCTAGTGGAAGTAGCATCAAGTATCATTTAAGGAGGCCAGACACCTACCTAAAACTGACCACACTCTGGCCAAGGTCCAAACACTGCCCACTGCAGATAAGGAGAACCTCTGCAGAGGACCGACCTAAGGGATAGAGCAGCCAAAACAGCAGTGGAGTGCATGCAGCACACACCAGAGATACTCCCTGAAGCACCAGGCCCTGGATACTATCTAACCTCTTCATAGAGCCATTACTCTCAGGAACAGGAAACACAACAGGTTTTTCTAACACAGAGAAGAAGACAGTGACCTAGACAAAATGCCAAGATGGAGGAATTCATTCCAAAAGAAATAACAAGAAAAAGTCATGGCTAGAAATCTAATTGAAACAGATATAAGTAATAAGACTTATGGAGATTTAAAAATAACAATCATAAGGATACTCACTGGGCACGAGGAAAGCATAGAAGACATCAGGGAGACCTTTACTACACAAATAAAAGAGTTGAAAAACAATTAGGCAGATATAAAAAATATAATAAATGAGATTAAAAACAAACTAGATGTAATGACCACAAGGATGGAAGACTGAGAGGAATGAATAAGTGATATAGAAGATAGAATTATGGAAAATAATTGGGATGCCTGGGTGACTCAGTCAGTTAAGCATCTGACTCTTGATCTGGGCTTAGGTCATGATCTGATGGTTTGTGAATTTGAGCCCCACATCAGGCTCCATGCTGTCAGTTTGGGATTCTGTCTCTGCCTTTCTCCACCCCTCCTACTTGCACACCCATGCTCTCACTCAAAATAAATAAATAAAAACTTAAAAACATAATTATAGAAAATAATGAAGCTGAACAAAAGAATGAAGAATGATGAATCATGAGAGTGGACTTAGGGAACTCAGTGACTTCATTAAAGGTAATAACATTTGTATCATAGGAGTCCCAGAAGAAAAAGAGAAAAGGGGGCAGAAGGTTTATTTGAGGAAATAATAGCTGAAAATTTCCCTAATCTGAGGAAGAAAACAGACATCCAAATCCAGGAGTTAGAAAGAACTGCCATCAAAATCAACAAAAGTAGGCTAACACCAAGACATATTATATTTAAATTTGCAAAATATAGTGATAAAGAAAAAATCCTAAAAGCAGTAAGACAAGAAATTTCCTAACTTACAAGGAAACACCCATAAGGTTAGCTGCAGATCTTTCCACAGAAACTTGGCAAGCCAGAAGAAAGTGGCATGATATAGTCAACATGCTCAATGGGAAAAACCTGCAGCCAAGAATACTCTATCCAGCAAGGCTGTCATTCAGGACAGAAGTAGAGATAAAGAGTTTCCCAGACAAACAAAAACTAAAGGATTTCATGAACACTACACCAGCCCTGCAAGAAATATTAAAGGGGATTCTTTGAGTGGGAAGGAAAGATCAAAAGTGACAAAGACTAGAAAGAAACAGAGAAAATCTCCAGAAACAACAACAAAACAAGTAATAAAATGGTACTAAATACATATCTATCAATAATTACTCTGAATGTAAATGGCTAATCAAGACACAGAGAATAATCATAAGAGACATAGAGACATAATCAAGAATGTATATGTTCTAATCAAGACATAGAGTGTCAGAATGGATTAAAAAAAAAAAAAAGGATCTATACTCTATACTCTGGATCTATACACATCTATACTCTGCCTACTCATTTCAGACCTAAAGACACCTGCAGATTAAAAGTGAGGGGATGGAGAAAGATCTATCATGCAATGAACATAAAAATAAGCTGGAGAAGCAATACTTCTATCAGACTAACTAGATTTTAAAACAAAGACTGTAACAAAAGATGAATAAGGGCACTATATCATGATAAAGGGGACTATCCAACAAGATCTAACAATTATAAGTATTTATGCTCCCAAATTGAGAGTACCCAAACATATAAAGCAATTAATAATAAACATAAAGGAACATATCGATGATAATATAATAATAGTAGGTCACTTTAACATCCCACTTACACCAATGGACAGATCATCTAAGCAGAAAATCAACAAGGAAATAATGGCTTTGACTGACACAGTGGACCAGACGGACTTAACAGATGTATTCAGAACATTTCATCCTAAAGCAGCAGAATATACATTCTTTTCAAGTGCACATAGGACAGTCTCCAGAGTAGATCACATACTAGATTACAAATCAGGCCTCAACAAGTACAAAAAGACTGAAATCATACCATGCATACTTTCTGACCATGAAAATTGAAGTCGGTCACAAGAAAAAATTGGGGAAGACCACAAATACAAGGAGGTTAAACAACATGTTACTAAAGAATG